TTAGAACCTAACCCAGTCAGGCAGAATCACGAAACTGTCAGTTTAGAACCTACCCAGTCGGATATAAACATAAAACAGTCGGTTTAGAACCTATCCCAGTCAGGAAAAAATGTAACCTAGTCAGGCAGAAACATGAACAAGTCAGTTCAGAACCTAACCCAGTCAGGCAGAATCATAAAACTGTCAGTTTAGAGCCTAACCCAGTCAGGTAGAAATCTAATCCAGTTAGACAGGAACATGAATAAGTCAGTTTAGAATCAAACCCACTCTAGTTAAAACCTAACCCAGTCAAGCTGGAACAAAACAAGTCAGTTTAGATCCAGACATTCTGAGTTTGAAATTTTGATGTTAAAGGGGGAGTTTCGATAAGGCCGCTCAGCGGCCCACTTTTTCTTAAAAATAAATTTCAATTTATTTTTTCAAAACTAGTTTAGAATTCAAGATAAATATGTTAACTTTTGTTATTTATATTTTAAAAGTTAATATGAGAAGAATTAACACCGTAGCTGATACATACTTAGATGTACACTCAGATTCGTTAACATTAGGCTTATGGGAAAATATAAGAGGGTGGCATTTATAAATCGATGTTTAGAATATGAAGTGTATGAGGGACACTCACCTAAATTTGTTCAGTAATTAGATATACTCTGCACACTAATTTCTTGAAATATGATGAGTGTCGCATGTGCACTTCATATCCAAAAATTGAAAATTGCATAACATGCATATCTAAAAGTAGAAACTCCTGGTTTCTTGATCTGACTCTGTGTTAAAATACTAAGCCAAAAGTAGCATATTTTGTTGAATTAAAGAAGATTCTCGATTATACATGTATTAACAGTAGAACACATTATCGTATCCTGTCTTCATTTTGATACTATTTTTGTCGCCAACATATAACGTTAACGTCACATTTTTAGCTCACCTCCTCAAAGTTGGGGGAGCTTTTGTAATACCGTCAGCATTGGTGTTCCAGGTAAAAGTTTTTGAAGCAGATTTTTTTTCAAGTATATCTATGCCCTATATTAATCACAGTCACCTGATCAAGCATGTTTCCTTGTCACCAGTAAGGTTTCAAATGCTGGATTTTAGCCAAAGAATGTCCAGGTAAATGTTTTAAAAGCAGGTTTAAGTTTTTGGAGCAGAGCAGCTGTAAGCACTTGTTGATCAGACTTGCTTCATGATGCATCTACGGATGCACACTATTAGATTGCTTTAGATGCTGGATATGACCTACATCTCCTTAATGAGTGAGCAGGTTAAAGATTTTGAAGTGTGTCTCATTCTTATGTGACTATAAGCCCTATCGTAACCAAACTTGCACTGATGATGCATCTAGGATTGCACACTACCAGACATGGTTCAGATGCTGGAACTTTCTTACATTTTCTGACTGACTGAACAAAAAAGTTTTAGAGCAAGTCCATTCCTTAACGTTATTTATCATGCATAGTTACAAGAAAGTCAAAAATATAAATATTTCTGACTTTCTTGTATAGAAATTCACGCTCCAACATGCTAGAGAAGTGCCCATATATTTCCGTGTGATTGACATATAGGGAACGTGGATTGTTTTAAGTCTGGATGTCTAGGCGCATATGTCTGCCTGATTAAGGATTAAACACATATCTTTGGCATTTACACGTGTATTTTGAACTGCGCTTTGGTCTAGCAAATCATTTATAATGAATTCTAAAACTCTGTAAATGAGGAGTGACTAGAGTTGGTGAAGCAACTTAAGTATCTATGGAGAGCGGGGAAGCGATAGGAAATTAGTCCTGGCTGGGATTCTCTCAGTTATGCTGAAAACATAATGCAGGCAAATACTTCTAAGTTTCATAATGAAAAGGAAACACTCAATGTATTATAGATTTTTCCATCATTTGGCTATTCACATATTACGTATAATGATAAAATATTTTTGACTGTAATTAATATTATTCATATTATCAAATACATTGCAATATACTGAAGCCAGTAGGTGCTAGGTAAAAAAAAATATATTATCTGGCCTGCCATTGAAATATCTGGCGGCTGCCAGAAAAAATTTAGTGGTTTGCCAATCAAGTTGTAGCACCCAATGATGTACCTTAATGCACTTGATTGACAGAGGTACACAGACCAGGTATTTTTAAAGGCGGTGCTTAAAATCTCTGCCTTTAACGACATCTACAACTTCTGTTTGTAGTCAAATCTGGGAGTTTCATGCCTTATTAGCAAGATTACATGTCTACACCGCAAGAAACTTACTTGCCTGCTTCTAGTTATTTATGTGGCGGCCGCCAAATAAGTTTCTGGTTGCTGCCAGTTATTTATATTTTGGCCGCAGGAAAACTATTTGGCAGATATATTTTTCTAGTGGCCACCAAATAATTATGTGGTGGCTGCCAGATAAAATATTTTTCTTACCTTGCACCTACAATGTACCAGCTTACGTAGCAATATGATTCTTTTAAATAAACTTCTTATTCATGTATGTATATAAAGTTGCATTTATTTTTTAATCTTTTTACTTCAAAACATTTTATTTAATTTCAATTTTATGATATTAAGGTATATTTTTATAAAATATGTAGTTGTATAATCTCATTGATGAAAATGTATTGCATATCCCTGTATATGATGTTTTTACGTTTACCTATCTCATGTCCATATATCTTTTCATTTGCATTTTTTGTATGGGAAAATGTTAAATATTGATTGTAAAGTTTACATATAAACTGTCAATTAATTATGATGTTAAAACTTTCTATATATGTTTACGTTTTATAAGATCAATTCATCCTCTTTTAAAGAAAAGTAACATTTAACACACCAGAAAAATATCACACCTTAAAAAAAACATTCGCGTAAGGTAAATACCATTTTCCATAAAAAAAATTGTTGAAATTGGTTAATTTATGTCTTTATTCATATTTACCCTATTTCATTTATTATTTTGACGATTTAAAAATCCACTTTCCCCCTATAAAAATGTCTACTCCAAAAATATACGAAAGGGGGTATACTTAAATTTTCAATTATCACGTGACCGGAAAATGCGTCAAATTATTTTCATATTTTTTGGACGATAAAGAGTTTTACTACAAAATATCAAAAATTTCAGAAAATTTCGTGAGGGGCCGAAAAACCGCCTTATCAAAACTCCCCCTTTGTTTTTATTATTGTTTGCTTGATGAAGTAATGTTCCTAGTTTCATATTTTACTTCACTGGAATTTTTGCAAATGAAAGAACAATTTTAAAAATGTGTTTGATAACCCCAAAAAACTGCACCAGATATACTCAAAGATTTTTATTGTATTTTATAATCGTCTATACTTATTTTAAATTCTTTGTCATTGCAAGAAATCATTTGCAATTCTGTAAATGAGTATAATTTCTGAGAATTCAAATTACCATAGAAGCAGAATTTTTAGGGAGGATTCCATTTTGGCATTTTTAGCGAGGGAACTGAGATTGCTAAAATTGAATATTGCTAACATTTATTCTATTTTGGCTGTTATAGCTTTCTCTCTTGATATTACAAAATCACTTAAATTACTTCTTGCTAAAAATTTGGGGGTAAATTGCTAAATTGGCATCTCGCTAAGATTTCCACTTATACAGTATTTTTTCGTTAAAAACAAGTACATGTATCTGGGGGTTTATTTTCTTAGAATATGGAAATGCTTTCATAATAGGCATATACATGTTCATATATCTCTTAAGAAGGTCATTATTTTTTTTTCAGATCTGCTCTTTTGATGAAACTGTGAAAAAAAATCCCATTTCATAAAATTCTAAGATGTTAAAATGTAGTACAACACCTAAAATGAAAATTTTGTGCATTTTTCCAGGTAAAACAAGTAGAAAGAAAAGGCTGGAGCAAAGATGAGAAAAGGTAGGTTAACATAGTTTTCATTTGATAAAATCAAAAGATGCTATTCAGTACTCACCCATCCCCTCCCCTTAAACCAAATAGACTTAAAAGGGACAAAAGACTGTAATCACTTTGTTTGTATGTTTTGATATACATGTATGTCCTGAACATGTCTTTTAGCTGATAAACTAATTTGACTGAGTTCAAAAACATTCCTGCATTTTATCTGTATAAGAGATTTTAAAAATTGATGAACAGATCTGATTCAGACTTTTTGCTTAGACTGTACTTCCCATCTTTTGACAGCACCATATGCCAAGGGTTTGTGAGGAGAGTAGCAGATCAGAAACCTTTGACTAGAGAAGATGGTGTTTGTTGTGACAAGACCTTTCTTTGAATACAAACACTTTTTGAACTCTTCACTTTAACCTTGTAGACCTCGACCTAAATTTGAAAAATCCAAACCTTTGTCTTGAACTGCCATAGGGGACAACAATGTTTCACAAACACAACTTGTTATTTCATATAAATATCGTTTGCTTTCCTTTCAACTTAAAATTATGCAATAGTTTGTCATAATTACAGTGAATGGAGACAGATTCTGATGATGCCATCATTGGGAGGCAGGATGACTGTAAGACACTAATTCCTCATCCATAAAGATTTCTACAAGTGGTTCATTTGGTAGGTTAGACTGGCATACCAACAAACTTGGATGGTGTGATAGAATCACTTTTTCCCCCAGAGAATACATTGTTTTACATTTCTGGGACACTCCTCAGCATAAATAATTAGTCATATTTAAAGAAAACACTACCAATTCTACAATGTGACAACAAATGTTCAAAAGGCAATAAACTGAATATTTTTGCTCACCTCAACAAAGTCGAGATGAGCTTTTGCTTTGTAAGTGTGTTGACATCCCAGTAAAAGTTTTATGGGCAAGTTCATTCCCAAGTAACTTAAAGCGTAGAGCTTATAGTTACTTGGGAATGAACTTGCCCATAAAACTTTTACAAAGTACCAAAGTTTCAAGTAACTATAAGCTCTACCTGTACAAAAAGTTGCATGGATGATGCTTCTGACTTAACTGGATGATAAGACATTTATTTTCAGGATGATTATAACTGATCAAATTTTTTGGACATTCCCAAGAAACTATAATTCCTAACTAGACCAAACTTGTATGGTAAGGCATGTAGATGTGCACACTACTAGAACATTCAATTTATGATAGACATTGCCTTCACTCATAGATAATATTCTGCTGAGGAGAACTTTAGGAAAAGTGATTTTGATGTTATGCACTTATATTTTCAGAAATGAATACAGATTTCATTACAAGACGTGAGTATGTTCAAAGGAAACAGCCAATCAAAATGAACTTAGTCAGTTATAGTTGTATATATAACAAGAGACAATTTATTTTTATTTTTTCATTTTTGGCATCTTATTTTAGGCCTACAGTATTAATTTTGGACTCATGAGCTAAGAATATCATATCTTTAGCAGAATTGTCCCACTTAATTAAAGAGAACTTTTTTTTAGGTGTGCATGGTGCAACATCCTGGATGGTGTGTAGTATGTTTGTTAACATGTGAAGCCCACGCGTATTTCAGGGTAGATATGTTTACTGTTAATTACTGTCAGGGTGTATTTTTTCTGGTCTCAATTTTTAAGTCACCTGAGTCACTCAGGTGACCTATAGCTATCCGTTTTTGTCTGTCGTCGTGCGATGTGTGTTAACATTTGAACATTTTTAGCTTCTTCTCTGAAACCGCTCTACCAATTTCAACCAAATTTGGCATATAGCATTCTATGGGTGAAGGGGAACAAAAATTTTGAATTTCATGGTCCCTGCCCCCTGGGGCCTAAGGGGTGGGGCTAAAACCACCAAAATTAATGCAATCTTTAAAAATCTTCTTCTTTATTCCTGGACATCAAGCAGTCAAACTGTTAGCATGATTGTAATAAGCATTGAGCCCTCTACCAAAATTGTGAAATTCATAGCCCCAGGGTCAGGGATTTTGGTGCTAGGGTGGGGCTTTATAGATCATCTAGTGAAAGTGCATTATTTCTTTGAAAATCTTCTCCTCTGCTCCTGGATATTAAATAAACCAACTAAGTACATAGTTATGATGAGCAAGAGTGCCTCTTCCAAAATTGTGAATTTCATGGCCCAAGGGTCAGGGGTTCTGGTGTTAGGTTGGGGCTCTATTGATTATATAGTGAAAATGCTTTAATTCTTTGAAAATCTTCTTCTCTGCTCCTGGATATAAAATAAACTAAATAAGTATATGGTTATGATGAGCAAGAGTGTCACTTCCAAAATTGTGAATTTCATGTTCCAAGGGTCAGAGGTTCTGGTGTTAGGGCGGGGCTCTATTGATTGTATAGTGAAAATGCATTAATTCTTTGAAAATCTTCTTCTCTGCTCCTGGGTATTAAATAAAGTATTTAAGAACATAGTTATGGTGAACATGGCTGCCTTTTTAGAAATTATGAATTTCATGGCCCCAGGGTTAGGGGTTCTGGTGTTAGGGCGGGGCTCTATTGATTATATAGTAAAATTGCATTAGTTCTTTGAAAATCTTCTCTGCTCTTGGATTTTAAATAAACTAACTTAGTGCATAGTTATGACAAGCATGGTTGCCTTTTCCAAAATTGTGAATTTCATGGCCCCTGGTTCAGGGGTTCTAGTGTAAGGGTGGGGCTCTATTGATTATATAGGGAAAATGCATAAATTTTTTCAAAATTTTCTTCTCTGCTCCTGGGTATTTTTCAAACAAAGGAAGTGCATGGTTATAAGGAAGAATGCCTCTTCCAAAATTGTGAAATTCATGGCCCCAGGTAGACTTGGAAATAATAGATGAATAAAATTGAGACAAAAATAACTTATCCTTTTTAATTGTTCTTCAAAGGCCAAGAGAGGCCAATGTGAGAAGTAATAATATGGGGTTAAAAAATAGACAGTTTGTTAATATTCTGCATGGTAATAGTGATAAATGGGGGACAGATAGATACTAGACCAATTATTTTGTTGATGCAAATCATACTACATTCTTGCTTTTGGGCAACAGAGCTTCATTTATCAGTTTATGGATCCTCTGAATTGTTGTATTGTACTCAGGTGACCGTTAAGGCCCTTGGGCCTCTTGTTTGTTTAAGCATTAATCTTTATTTTCTCTTTCATTGATTATCTGCTTAGAGTCTTAGTTACAGACCCTGAAACGTGCTACTACCCCACACGCACGCTGCACGAACGGTACACGCTCGCTACACGGTTTGCACGAAAGGCTGCACGGTTTACACGAAAGCCTGCACGAAACGCTTTCTACACGTTTCTCACACGCTTTGTACATGATTCTCGCACGCTTTGGCCTCGATATGGATTTTCTATTCGGAATCTCTTGGACTTTATTTCAGTTATTACGGATTAATAAACGAGTAGTTAAGAATTACAATCATTCAGATTAAGTTATGATTAAAACTCGCTACACCAGAACTATATTAACAGATAAAATACTCAATGTTCAGTTGTAATTAATTAATAGTTGTCAATGAATATGTGACCCGCCCGATGAAATGCTCATCATCGTCAAACTTTTTTTCACTAGACTCTAAATTATGCACTGAAAAAAAAAATTATATTTGTAATTCATCATTTTTTACAGCATTTAATGTTTTTACAATTATAGTTTGATACTAAAAAGACGTTCCATTACTGACTTTATTACTGACAAATAAACTCAGTTTCACAGTTATATTTGAAAAAAAAAATATTGATTAAATTGCGTATGATTTCTGTTAACGGATTGATTTTCTTTTCCTTTTTTATTATTGATTCATTTATACATTTTTTTTTTTTTGATTTAGTAAAGAAAATAATTTCATTTGATTAAATTAGGCTCTGTTTAAAATTTTCAAATGTAATGTGTAAACTGCTTCAAACAGGAACATTGTGCAGGAAAGGAAGGGGGGGTTAGATTACCGAGATCTTACTGTTGTATCTTCAAATCTGTACATGGCTAAATATAACGGGCACTTGGTTTAGTAAGTAAACAATCGGGAAAAAAATTATTATAGAAACAAGTGCCCGTTCTAAGAAAAAAAAAGATATTCATGTCTTCAGCGGGACCCGATACATGTAATTCATTAATATGCACTTTATTCAGAATGGTAAATATATATTTTCATTACAGAGGTAAACTTTAATTTATCATTAAAATCTTATATGGTAGAGAAGCCGGGGGATATGTATTGTAAATCTTTCGTTCTCTCTTCCGGTATTGTGTTTATTAAATATCAATATACAATGTCCAACCGCCTTTTAAAATCCTTGATTTCAAACCCCGTCTAGAAAAAAAAATCAATAATTATGTAATCAATAGTCGCGGCTCTTAACAATACATTCAATATATATGTATACATGTCCTATGTCCTAGAACTGCATGACTAATAAAAACAATTAATATATAGGATTTATTTCTTTATATTATTTTATTCACGAATTCACTGGCAAATTAATTCACTGTTTACAGACAATCGGATAAATTTAAGAAATAAAATCAACGGGTATTACCGTTTAATTAATCGATCGTTATTGTCGGGTGTCATCTTAGCTATGATTGACAAGAGATAATAGCAGAACAAGTTTTCAATCCTGGCACGCGGAGTCCGTGATCGCTGTCGTAAATGACCTTGATCGCAGTCGTAAGTAGAGTGTTGAAAGTGTGAAGAAGAATCCAATATATTTTTTTAAGGGTGAATTGGGCGCACCCCATCGAAAAAAGCAATAATTTTCTTACAAAAGAAAAATATCAATAAAACACTTGTTTACAACAAAAACTCAGTTTTTGCTTTCATTTGATCACCCCCCCCCCCCCCCCCCCCTTGAAATATTTAACCTTGTATTTGCTGATGTATGTGAATTATAATTCATTTACAAGACTTTTATTAAACCGATTTTATGCATAAAAAGACAATAAATGACTCATCAATTTCAAAATTATTTGTATCACAATCTTGTACAGAAATATAAGAAAAATATGTTCGTTCATAAAGAAAATCAATTAACTGTGCTCCCCGGCCTAGAAATCTTATACTTCACATTTATAGCAACGCACTAAATTTTGCATTTTATTTTTCATGCCTGCCATACATGTATCTACATGTATCTATTATTTTGTATGAATCACCGATATGTTCTTGTAATCTCTATATCCCAGGTACAGAACAATGGAGAAGGTATTCAAATAACTGAATGAAAAGGAAAAGACCGGATTCCTAATGAATTTTCTTTTAAAAAAATATATTAAGTATTGCTCCCTTTAAAAAATGTATTGAATCAATTACCTTTAAATTGATGTGCATATAATTAATTACTTTTAACACATTTTCTGTCCATCTTTATATAAATAAATAAAGAAAGAAAATCAAACAAATATGTAATACATTACCGAATAATTTTATTTTGTTGTTTCCGTTTTTTTTTTTTTTTTTTTTTTACCTTAAAATACCACCGGTATGATATATCCGAATAATATTAGCTATAAACAACACAGAATGACATGTTGATCCAACAATAGTCATATTCAAAATAAGAGGACTTCCGAATGAATCCTACACGTTTCTCACACAATTCTTGCACGAAAATCGCACGTTTCTTACACGGTTCTTACACGAAAGTCGCACGTTTCTCACACGCTTCTCGCACGCTCGCTACACGGTTTGCACGAAACGCTTTGGAGCTTACACGAAACGCTGCACGGTTTAAACGAAACGCTACACGGTTTGCACGAAACAAAAAGCGCACGAAAGTCACACGCTTTTTGGGGGTAGTAGCACGTTTCAGGGTCTGTAATTAATTAATTTAATTGAAGCTATATAGTAACATGTAGTGAAATTGTTTCATTGTGTCGGACCTAAAGAGTAACAGGTAACTCTCATTTTGACTACAATTTCTCTGATTTCAGGAGTTGTCTCCCATGTTTAAGATCAGTAATGGCGGATATACAATGCAGTATGCTGTCTGGTCATCAACAGAGAGTTTTGACACCCCTATTTCTACCAATCACCTCTGTAACCTTTGTTGTGATCATCAGATAGGTAAGAAAAACAAGATAATTAATTAAAATAATTTTAATAAGATAAAATTAAAACATTTTTAGGTCACCTGAGTCACTCAGGTGACCTATTGCTATCTCTTTTCGTCCATCGTCGTGCGTCTTCCGTCGTTCGTCGGTCGTAAACTTTTGAACATTTTCAGCTTCTTCTCTGGAACCAGCAAACCAATTTCAACCAATTTTGGCATATAGCATCTATGGGTGAAGGGGAACAAAAATTGTGAAATTCGTGGCCCCTGCCCCCCTGGGGCCTGAGGGGTGGGGCCAAAACCATCAAAATTAATGCAATCTTTAAAAATCTTCTTCTTTACTCCTGGACATCAAGCAGTCAAACTGTTGGCAACATTGTAATAAGCATTGAGCCCTCTACCAAAATTGTGAAATTCATGGCCCCAGGGTCAGGGGTTCTGGTGCTAGGGCAGGGCTATATAGATCATCTAGTGAAAGTGCATTATTTCTTTGAAAATCTTCTTCTCTCCTCCTGGGTATTATTGAAACAAATTGAATACATAGTTATGATAAGCAAGGGTGACTCTACCGAAATTGTGAAATTCATGGCCCCAGGGTCAGGGGTTCTGGTGCTAGGGTGGTGCTATATAGATCATATAATGAAAGTGCATTATTTCTTTGAAAATCTTCTTCTCTACTCCTGGGTATTATTGAAACAAAATGAATACATAGTTATTATAAGCAAGAGTGACTCTACCAAAATTTTGAAATTCATGGCCCCAGGGTCAGGGGTTCTGGTGCTAGGGTGGGGCTATATAGATCATATAATGAAAGTGCATTATTTCTTTGAAAATCTTCTTCTCTACTCCTGGGTATTATTTAAACAAATTAAATACATAGCTATGATAAGCAAGGGTGACTCTACCGAAATTGTGAAATTCATAGCCCCAGGGTCAGGGGTTCTGGTGCTAGGGCTATATAGATCATATAATGAAAGTGCATTATTTCTTTGAAAATCTTCTTCTCTTCTCCTGGGTATTATTTAAACAAATACATGGTTATGATAAGCAAGGATGCCTCTTCCAAAATTGTGAATTTCATGACCCGTGGATCAGAGGTTCTGATATTAGGGCGGGGCTCTATTTATTATATAGTGAAAATGCATTAATGCTTTAAAAATCTTCTCTGCACCTGGGCATATCAGAGGCAAAAAGAGTAAAAGTTTTAATAAGGAAGGGTATTTTTACCAGATTTTTGAACATCGGAACCATTTGATCAAGTGTTCTGGTCCAGGCCAGGGCTCTATTAATTTTTATTCTATTGAGAGGAGTTATTCCCCTTTGCCATTTACTTGTGTTAATTAATCACTGTAAAGAATGTACTTGAAAAGTTAATAGAATAGGAGAATTATGCAAGAATTTTTATTGTAAAATACAAAAAGTACTTTCATAGTTTTAATGATAAGGTAGACTTGTAAGTAACAGATAAATAAAAATGAGACAAAAATAACTTGTCTTATTAAATGTTCATCAAAGACCAAGAGAGGCCAATGTAAGAGATTTCAACAAGGAATTAAAAGAGTACAGAAGCACTGATTATAAGTTTGTTTATATACTGTCTGGTGAGAGTGATAAATGGGGAACAGATTAGAACCTAATTTATATACTGTTAATGAACACTAGACTAATTATTTTGTTGATCCTGATCACCCTACTTTTCTTGCTTTTGGGCAACAAAGCTTCACCTTTCAGTTCATTTTATACTATATGGATCCTCTAAATTGTTGTATTATACTCAGGTGACCATTAAGGCCCTTGGGCCTCTTGTTACATGCATGGACTCCCTCATATAAGAAAATGTCAAATTTTACTCATACAATTATACATCATTTACATTTCCACATTTTCCCCATTTACACAGTTGAATAGAATCTGTGCATAATAAAACATATCAACAATTATTATATAGTCTATAAATTTACAAATTATTTATTAATTACAAAATTCATACATTTGAATTAAATACACAGCATCAATGCCCCCCACTCCCCTCCCCCCCCCCTTTTTACACTTAAACTTCCTTTTTAATTTTGAATCTGTTACTGATTTACTGTAAGTGTCTTTAGATTTTTAGCTCACCTCAAAGAAGTTGGGGGGAGCTTATGTGATATCTCCGGCGTCCCAGGTTATAGTTTTTGCAGCAGTTTTCTTTTTCAGCACTTCTATGCCTTACATAAATCAGAGTTGCATGGAAGATGTTTATGTGTGTTTCTTTGTACCAGTCAAGGTTTCAGATGCTGCAATTTCAGCTAAAAGATGACCAGGTTAATGTTTTTAAAGCAGGTTGAAGATTTTGGAGCAGGTTAAAGTTTTTGGGGCAGGTCTCATTTCCAAGTAACTATAAGCCCTATCGTGACCAAACTTGCATGGATGATACATCTAAGGATGCTAACTACCACCCTTCTTTAGATGCTGGATCTGACCTACATTTTCCAGATGAGTGACCAGGTTAAAGTTTATAGAACAGGTTCATTCTAAAGTAACTATAGACCCATGTTGACCAGACTTGCATGGATGATACATCTAAGGATGCACACTACCAGGCTAGCTTTGGATACTGGATCTGACCTACGTTTTCCAGATGGGTGACCAGGTTAATGTTTTTGGAGCAGGATCATTCTAAAGTAACTATTTGCTTTACCTTGACCCGACTTGCATGGATGATACATCTAAGGATGCACACTACTGGACTTGCTTCAGATGCTTGATTTGATCTACATATTCCAGATGAGTGACCAGGTTAAAGTTTTTGGTTCAGGTCCATTACCAAGAATCTATAAGGCCTTTCTGAACCGAACTTGCAAGGATGATGCATCAAGGGATGAACATTCTCAAACTTGCTTCAGATGCTGGATTTCTGGATAATTGGCAAGTTAAAAGTTCTTAGATTAGTCCATTCCCAAGTAACTGTAAAGCCCTATCAGAACAAAATTGCATAAATGTTGCATCTAGGGATGCACACTACTAGGTTATTTGTTTAGTGTGGGACTTTACCTTACACAAACATTCATTGAATTGAGTTATGTAATCTTTGATTACCTATGTTTTATTGTAGAGCTGATATCTTTTAGATCTACTGTATTTTCTTTGAGATACATGTATATACTGTACATGCATTTTAACAGTTTTGGATTTTTCGCAGTTTTGGATTTCTTCTGTTGTCTTTGAGAGTCAGAGAAATGATGCAAGTCTTTAAGGTTTTCAATGACATGTCCTTGTTTTTCAGATTCACCAGATGCAGCTGCTCCATCTCCATCACTGGTGAAATGGGAAATGACTAGTGGACGGTCATCACTTTGTAACTCACCATTTTGCGGCCCATCTCTTCTCATCTTCAGTGGTGGCCTCTGGAGGAATGGTTGCAGGGCAGTCTTCGTGTCTTAGGCAGATAACTTCCTTTCCTTTGCTTCTCAGGTGTCTGCCTTTCTTGCATACTTTATTCCCACACAACACTGCCACAACATTTTTCCTCTGAGTAACATTTTCACTTGTGGTATAAGTCACATTGGTGGCAGCTTGGAATGGGGTTTTTCCAATGGCAATGAAGGTGGCATTATTATATCTGGCATGTCCTTCCACTCTGATGTGGTATCAGGAAGTCCACAATTTTCATTAAATTCTTGAATGTTCTGCCTTATTTTTTTCAGGGCGGGGTCACAACAGGGGAACAATTTTTACATAGGTATATATAGGAAAACTCATTAAAGAATATTCATCTTAAGCACAGCTTAGCCATGGGGCCACAACAGGGGATCAAATTTATAAATAGAAATATATAGGAAATATCTTTAAAAATCTTCTCAAGAACAGCAAACTAATGATCAGTCATATTTTTATTGAATTATCCTCAGGTTGTGTAGGTTGAAGTTTGTTCAATTCATGATCTTCTGGGGTAGGATGGGACCACAAAAAATGATCAAAGTTTTAAGGAAGAGGGATCTAATTCAATTACCTCCTGAATTAATTATTTCACACTAACATCTTTATTTAGCATTAACTCATATCAGCTGGAGGCTCAAGTGAGCTCTTTCTGATCAAAATTTGTGCATTTGTCCATCTCCTTCATAATTTTTCACATTTTCACCTTCTTTTCTAGAACCACTGTGTCAATTTCAAACAAACTTCGTACAAAGCATGCATTGGTAAAGGAAATTCATTCTGACGAAGGACCACATCTCTTCCCAGCAGAGATAATTAAGAAACAGTAAAAATTTGGTATGATCGTTCAAATGTTCTTAAGAACCACTAGGCTTGAAAATACGAAACCCAAGTAAAAGCTTCCTGACATAGAATAAATTAAGTTTTATACAATTCATGTCCCTGGGGGTATGGTGGGGCAAGTGCGGGCAATCAGAGTTTTACATGGGAATACATAGGGAAATTCTTATTTTGTATTAAGAACAGCAAAGGCATGATTAGTCATATTGACAATAAAGCACCCACAACAACTTTTTTAGATTCAAGTTTTTCAAAGCATGATGCCTGGGGGTAGGGTGGGGACACAGTAGAGGATGAAAGTATTACCTACAAATATATAGGAAAAATCTGTATAAATCTTCTCAAGCAAAGTCATGATTAGTCATGATTACATGGAAGCATCCTCGGGTGTGTAATTTCAAGTTTGTTAATCATGACTCTTGGGAAAAGGGTGGGGCTACAATATGATATCAAATTTTAAGTAGGAATATATACAGGAAAAAGAATCTGTTGATGAAGAAGGGTTGTATTCCTCAGATGAGCATTGTGGCTCATGGGCCTCTTGTTTTATATTGTGCTGATTATATGTAGCTATAGTGCATAAAAGGTCATGTTTACAATCAAGAAGCCTATCATGCAACTAAAGGAGTTTATATTAGGATTAGACAAAAGAGTAGATCTATTCAAATTTGTTCAAACTGTGGTCCCAGAATTTAGGATCAGGAAAGATTTGACACAGGAATACATATATATAGGAAAATACTTATAAATCTTTTTTTTTTTTTCTAAAGAGCAGCTTGGCTTTGTTAAGGAAGTCTAATAAGCAAGGATCCTCAAGTAGTGCAGTTTCAAATTTATGCAAATCATGACCCCATATAGGATAAGACCGCATTTGGAGACAAGTTATGTACAAAGAAATATATTTTTAGGTCACCTGAGTCACTTTTCTGTGGATGTGTGTCATTTGTTGGTCATAAACAATAGGTCTTTTTTTAAGCTTTTTCTCTTGAACCTTTGAACCAATTTCAACTACCGGTAATTTTGGAATAGCATAATTAAGTGAAGGGGTACAAAAATTTTGAATTTCATGGTCACTCCCCCCCCCCCCCCCCCCCCCCCCCCCCCCCCCCCCCCCGGGGACTGAGGGGTGGAGTTTAAACCATCAAAATTAGTGATATCTTTCAAAATAATCATCATAACTCCTGGACATCTAGCAGTGAAACTGCTGGCATGATTGTAATAAGCACTGAGCCCTTACCAAAACTTTGAAATTCATGAAGGAGGGTTAGGGATTCTGGAGTTAGGGCAGAGCTCTAATGATCATATAATGAAAATGGATAAATTCTTTTTAAAAACCTTCTCCTTTCTGTATAATTTATTAGGTAAACTAGGTGCATGGTTCTAATAAGCAAGGGCACCTCTACTTAAATTGTAAAATTTTTGGCCCCAGGCCCTGGGGATCTGGTGTTAGGGTGGGGCTTTATTGATGCTTGTGTGCCGGTATGTTTTTCTTTGAAAATTAATCTTCTTTGCTCCTGGGTATTAAGCAGAAATCTAAGTATAAGTGGCTCCAAAGTCTGGGTTCTGGTGTCAGGGTGAGGTTTTACTGGGTATTTAGCACATGAATTTAGTGCTTGATGAGCAAGAAACTTCTTTTAAAATTGTTAAATGTGGTGCTCCAAGGTCAAGGGTTCTGGTGTTTTGGGGGCCTATTAAAGTATGTATATATGCAATATATCTTTGGAAATTTTCATTTCTGCACCTGGATATTGAGCTAACCAAAAATAAAAGCATAGTTAAGATGAGCAAAGGTGCCTCTTTCAAATGGTGAATTTCATGGCCCAATCTAGGTCGGAGTGTTTCGGTGTTCTTTAGGTAAAATAGTGAAATGCTTAAATATTCTAAATATCTTCTTCTTTACCTAGTGGTATTAAGCAGACAAATGAATGGTATGGTTATGATGAGCAAGGATATTTCTTTTAAAGTTATGAAAATAATAGCCCCCTGAGTCAGGTCTTTTGGTGTTTATGTGGGGCTGTGTGGAATCTGAACATCGTTATTTCTTTGAAAATCTTCATCTATGCTCCTGGGCAACTAGGAGACAAAAAGAGTACAAAGTTGTGTTGAGCAAGGGCATTTTTAACAAATGTTTTAAATTTTGGAACACTTGGTCAAGTGTCCGGGCAGGGCTTGAACTGGGCTTCATTAATTTATATTCTACTGAGAGAAATTATTCCCCTCTGCTATTCACCTATGATAATATATCATTGTAAATGATGTAGTTGAAATTGAATGAGATACTTATACAAGAATTGTCATAGAATATAATACAAAAAGTCATTTCATAGTTTTTAGCTCAACTCAATGAAATTGGGGAACCTTATGTGATACCCTCAGTGTTGGTGTTGGTGTCCCAGGTTAAAGTTTTTGGAGCAGAGTTCTTTTTAACTATGAAAATGAAGAACTGGAGAGGATCTTGATTGATTTTTCTTGGTAAGTTTGGAAGTTTATTCCTTCTGATACATTTATGCAGTAGATGTCCTGTCCTGTTCTATTTAAGAACATCCAAGAAAATTATAGAAGTTCAGGACTTTTCCTTACATGTACTTCTTAGCTCACCTGACCTGAAAGCTCAAGTGAGCTTTTCCGATCACATTTTATCTGTAGTCTGTCTGTCTTCTGTCCGTAAACTTTTCACGTTTTCGACTTCTCTTCCAGAACCATTGGGCCAATTTCAACCAAACTTGCCACTAAGCATCCTAGGGTAAAGGGGATTCAAGTTTGATCAAATGAAGGGCCATGTCCTCTTTCAAGGGAAGATATTTCAGAAAAAGTGAAAATGTGGTGGCATCTTTAAAATTCTTCTTCTCAAGAACCACTTGACCAAAAAAGTTCAAACTTATAGGAAACTTTCTTTACATAGTTTATATTCAAGTTTGTTCAAATGATAATCCCCGGGGGTAGAATGAGGCCACAATGGGGAATGAAAGTTGTACGTAGAAATAAATAGGAAAAAATCTTTAAAAATAACCGGTATTCTTTTCAAGAACAGTAAAGCCATTATCAGTCATATTGATTTGGAAGCATCCTCAGGTAGTGTAGATTCAAGTTTGTTCAAATGATAACCCCTGGGGTTAGGCCAGGGTTGGGCCACAATGGGGAATCAAATACTATTCAATACTGAACTGATTTGTGCTTTTTCTTAGCCAATGTGCTCAGATGAGCAATGTGGCCCATGGGTCTCTTGTATTTGGTATCAAAGGAAAGCAGACACAAATATATATATATATATATATATATATATATATATATATATATATATATATATATATATATATATATATATATATATATATATAAATACAAGTTTGTTAATTTTTAATTGTTAATTTGTTAAACCCCAAAGCTGTTTTTATCGCTTTTTATGAATGTATGTAAACATGGAGACATGGAGTCCAACAGAAATGATTTTTGGTACTGAATTTATTTATCAAATTAACACAAATGATGCAATTAATACATCAAAATTACAGATAGTTTACAGTTCTTGTTTAGGATCTATTTCATCAATGCAAAAGGAGGACAATCTGTTATGCAGATTTGTGATGATTAGACTAGCGAAAGAGAAGGAACGGATGTTGTTTGGATCGCTAGTCTAATATTTTTTCATATGTTGGTTGTTTCCCCCGGATACACTAAACTTACTATGGAAACTGACTTTAAACATTTTTTTAAATCTTTACTTATTTTGAAGTGGGTAGGGGCATTTCTATGCACGTCCGATTTCGCTGCCGTATATTAACTAAATTATGTAAAAATGATTTGAAGATAATAGACCATATTAAACAATGTTCACTGAAAAACAATCATGGAAGCCATCAAAAAATTAAGGACCACAATAGGTGAGAACAGCTGTGTACCAGGTGATTGGTCACTAATTACTGTATATACACAGCCATAGCCTATATCGGGTGTTTACATGTGTAGATGATGACACGCTAATTACCCATATGCATATTTAAGTTATTTTTTGATAAGTTTTTGAAAAAATATGTACATTGAAATAAGAAAAAATACACATCCGAGTAACCGAGTACCATTTTTAGTATTCGATATTCGGACGTTCGATTGAGTACCCAGTTAACGGGGTACTCGTTGACATCCCTAATATATATATATATATATAT